GCCGTGCTTACTGGGCCTGGGCCGCTGGGGGCTGATATCCAGGTTGAGGTCGATCCTCCGCCGGGCCTCGCGGTTCTCCTGCTTTAGCTTTGCTTCCAGGCGGGACAGCTTCTGCTCCAGGGAGGACGCCGCCATCTTCCCCGCCGCCGCCGCCGCACACCGCCCGGCCGCCCCTCAAGTCCGGCAGACAAACACCGCACTGCGCCTGCGCCTGAATGACCCCGCCGAGCCGCCGTCTCGTCCCGCACAGCGCATGTCCACGACACGCACCCGCCCTTTTCGCGAGCGAACTTCCGCGCGTGCGTCTTCGTCCCAGCCGGAGGGATGACGCCACCTAGAGCTTGCTGCTGGCAACGTGCACATCCCAACTCTGATGCGCTAGCGTGAGTTCCCGAGCGCTCCGGCAAGGGGCGCTGTGCAGAAAGGCGTAGTTCCTCAGAGAGCTGTGGGAGGGGAAAGCGGCGCGTTTGCGTAGAGAGGGGGAAACGCAGTCACGCGCGTGGCTTCTTCTGTGCATGCGCGTCGCCTGTGTCTCTGTCTGGCAGCAGCCGCTGGCGGTCTTTAAATCTGTGTCTTCTAACTCGGCCTCGCTCTTTGGCCTAGCCCTCTGGCACCCGCGTGCTCACAGAATTTCCTTCCTTGATTGGATAGTGCCTCGTTAGGATCCGTGTTACGCGTAATTGCTGCCCAGCCCCCGTCCCAGCGCGGTGCCGCCTCCTAACCATAATTAGACACCTGTGGGGAGCCCTGTCCACCTCAGCCAGCCTCAACAAGCTCGGGGTTGGCCGAGGACAGGCAAGCGGAAAGGGGTGGGACTCGGCCCACTGTGGGGCCCTCAGAATTCCGTGGCGTAACCCCTGACCTCGGCAACAGGGCCAAGGTCAAGGATAGCGAGTTTCCAGCCAAACTTGGTGGGACCTAGCACTCCTCCCCATCCACCCGCCCCTGGATTGTAAGCCCAAATCCTGGACAGCCTGCAGAATTCTGAGTTTAGACGCCTCCCCCACACCCCACCCCTGCAGCCGAAGTAGCTGCTTAGCCGGTCTGTAAGGTGCTTGCAGGGCAGTGATGGTCCAGTGGTAGAATCCCCTCCCGCGTGGGAGGCTCTGGTTGCATTCTGAACCTATGCATCTTTTGCACAGCCACTACCTATGTCAGAAGCTGCCCAGGGAGGCTTCCGCGTTGCTATAGAGCTTCCACACTAAGATGGACGAGGAGAAAAGGCCTGGCTATTCTGCAAATCAGCCAATGAAAGCCCTATGTCCAGTGTGCAACTGGGAGCTCTGGTAGCATAGTGGCTAAGACGCTTGCTTGCTAACCAGACGGCTGGCAGTTCAAACCCACCAGCCACTCCTCGGAAGGAAGGTTGGGCAATCCTACTTCCGTAGTGATAACTGCCTCGGAAACCCAAGGAGGGGTCGCTATGAGTTGGGTTTGACTCAACGGCACATAACAACAACAAGTGTGCAACTAACCATGGGAATAGTGTGAAACAAAGCAGCATTTATGGGAGTGGGGGACACGACTATGAATTGAGGGCAGCCTGTACAACAGGTAATGACAACAAGGATGCTGGGGAAAATCTCCCTATCTGGAACCAACCCTGCGGCCTCAGCAGCCTACCCCTGCTCTTGGGTGCCAGGAGGAGGCACACATCTTGTATACCTGGAGGTAGTCAAGCCTACCGGAGATGGTCAGGGAGGCCAGCTGATCTGCCCAAACCTGGTTCAGCCTAGGCTTTCCTCTAGTGACGGCCTATGGATGGAGCACACACAAAAGTGTGAAGTCATTAGAATAAATGGGCGGTTGAGAAAAAGGAATTCTCCAGAAAAAAATCTAGGCAGAAGATGCTACCTGATTTCTTCTCATAAACTAAGCTCCCTATTGCCCCTCTTCAGACTCAATGTGCCTCTGCCCCACGACAGAGATTCACACCCTCAGTTCTGACATGTGACAGTCACTGCCTGCCATGGAATTTGGGGAAGCAGAAGACTTTCACAAGGACATGAGTGGACAAAAGAGATCAGAATTCAAGTTCTCATCATTTGTATTCTTTATTAAGCACCCACTGACATATGTGCCTTTACACAGGCAATGTTCAAAGGACATGGTCTCTGTCCTCATAAAGGAGTCCCTGGGTGTTGCTGTTTGCCCTCGACGGTAAACTGAAGGTAGGCAGTTCAATCTGCTTCCATAAAGATGACTGTTGTTGTTAGGTGCTGTCAAGTTGGTTTTGACTCATAGCGACCCTGTGCAAACAGAATGAAACCCTGCCTGGTCCTGCACTGTCCTCACAATCCTTGCTATGCTTGAGCCCATCTTTGCTGCCAATTAATCTCGTTGAGGGTCTTCCTCTTTCTCACTGACCCTCTGCCAAGCACGATGCCCATCTCCAGGGGCTGGTCCCTCCTGAACGAAGTCTTGCCATCCTTGCTTTATGCAGCACAGTGGCTATACTTCTTCCAAGACAGATATGCTCGTTTTTCTGGTGGTCCATAGTATGCTCAGTGTCCTTCCCCAACACCACAGTTCAAAGGCATCAGCTCCTTTGGTCTTCCTTATTAACTGTCCACCTTTCACATGCATCTGAGGCGACTGAAAATATGGGTCAGACACACCTTAGTCTTCAAAGTGATATTTTTGCTTCTTAACACTTTAGAGAGGTCTTTTGCAGCAGATTTGCCCCATGTATTGTGTTGTTTGACTTCTTGACTGGTACATTGATTGTGTATTCCAGTAATATGAAATTCTTGGTAACTTCAGTCTTTTCTTCATTTATCATGATGTTGCTTATTGGTCCAGTTGTGATGATTTTTGTTTTTCTTAGGTCAAGGTATAATCCATACTGAAGGGAGTAGCCTTTGATCTTCATCAATAAGTGCTTCAAGTCATTTTCACTTTCAACAAGGTGGTGTCATCTGCATATTGCAGATGTCAATGAGTCCTCCAATCCTGAGGCTACATTCTTTTTCATTCTTCTTGTCCATCTTCTCAGATATTTGCTCAGCATATAGATTGAACAAGTATGGTGAGAGGATACAACCCTGATGCACACTTTTCCTGATTTTAAACCAGGCAGTATCCCCTTATTCTATTGAAACAACTATCTCATAGTCTGTGTATAGGTTCCTCATGAGTATAATGAAGTGTTCTGGAACTCCCATTCTCCACAATGCTATCCATAATGTGTTATGATGCACATAAATGATTACAGTGCGCAGCAGGTTTACCCTGTAACACACGGAGTCGCCATGATGCACATAAATGATTCCACACGCAGCAGGTTTACCCTGTAACACATGGAGTCGCCATGATGGTGGGGAATTAACTGGATGGCGACAGGCTTTGGTCTTGGTCCTCAGCAGCCCCTGGGTGATGCAAGGGTTGACATGCTTGCTGACTGACTGAAAAGCTGGGGTTTCAGTCCACCAGAAGAGCCTCAGAAGGAAGCCCCAGTGACCTACTTCTGAAAAACCAGCTATTGCCACCCCTATGGAGCACAGTTCTACTCCAACACGTGTGGGGTCACCATGAATTAGGAGGGACTTGATGGCAACAGATAAGCGAGTCTTCAGAAAATGCCCCTTCCACCCAGGCTGCCCTGCCCTCAGGAAGCCCGTGAGTAGCCCTCAAGGAAGTCTGCTGATGGCCTGGAGCTGGGGGTGGAATTTTGCACGTGCAGGAGTGCTTTCCTGGGCCAGGAGGTGTCTAGCTTTCATCAGAGTTCAGAATCCCTGCTCCGGACATTCAGGTCTCTACCCTTCAGGTGAGCATTTCCCGACAGAGCAGTAGGACCACCTGCATCAGAGTTAGCTGGGAAGCTCGTTAACCAGCAGGTTCACAGACCCTACTCGGCCCTCCTGACTCATGGCCTCTCAGGGGTGGGACCCGGCACGTTCTGCTTTGCACGAGCTCTCCAGCTGGCTTTTAGGCATCACCAAATGTGAGAGCCGCTATTCTGAATTCACGTGTCCACAAGAGCAAACAACTGATAAAATATGGGAGGGATTGGCACCAGAGTAAGGTCTGGGTGGCACAAACAGTGAAGTGCCAACTACCAGCCAAAAGTTGGTGGTTGGAACCCAGCCGGCAGGCCGAGGGAGCGAGGCCTGGTGATCTGCATCTGTAAAGATTACAGGAAAACACCCGACAGAGCAGTTCTGCCCTGTAGCACGTGGGGTCGCTGCGAGCCAGAAGCAAGTCAGTGGCCACAGGTTTGGCCTTTTTGGTTTGGTATCAAAGTTGAGGAGCTGGTCCCTTCTCTCTGTGCCCCCTCCTTGGGAGAGAACCTCAGGTAAGCACTAGTTTGTTGAGGGGAGAGGGTTGGAAATCCCATTGGGATGTTCCCTTTCCCCCAACAGAGGCACTAATTGAGCTGGGATGTTGGGGGATAGGGGGAAGGGCAGCGGTTCCAGCCCAGGGTGAGGCAAGGACATAGATGAGGTTTGGGCCTGGGAATCCCATGATTTGTTAATCCCTGCACATAGGGTCCCGCCCCAAATCCCCAGCTTCCTGTCTCTCCCCAGACAAACCAGTCTCAGGAGCCAGCCTGAGCCCCACAAGGCTGGCATGCCAGCCCCTCCTCTCCTGGCCCTACTGGGCCACCTCCCTTGAAAACAACAGCAGGGATTCTGGGGTGGCAGCATCCCAAAGGCCCCTGCCACCTCAGCCTGCCCCGCCCTGGCTCCACCCCTTCATTCTGCCTCCATCTTTTCTCGCACTTCAGCCGGCAGCCCCTCATAGAGGGTGTCCTCCACCAGGAGCCCCGCCTTCTTGAGCCCCCCACAGTTGCCCAGTTCCTCGGGCAGCACCTCCAGCCTGTTGCCCTTGAGCTCCAGGCGGCTGAGCGCCCTGAGCGCCCCCACGTGGGTCGAGAGCAACCTCAGGTGGTTGTAACCCAGGAGCAAGGTCCGCAGCTTGCGGCAGAAAAAGAGCTCATCGGGCAGGGCCTCCAGGGCGTTGTAGGAGAGGGCCAGGTGTTGCAGGCTCTGGAGGAGGCCCAGCTCAGGCGGCAGCGTCCGCAGCCCGTTGTGGGAGACGTCCAGCAGGCGGAGGCTGGTGCACAGGCCCAGCTGGGTGGGCAGGGTCTCCAGCTTGTTGTGGCTGAGGTAGAGCTGCTCGAGCCCCCGAAGCTTGCGCACGTGCTCGGGGACATAGGCGATCTGGTTGTGCCACAGCCTGAGCGTCAGCAGCTTACGGCAGTGCTGGAAGCTAAGGATCTCCTCGATGGAGCGCAGGTGGTTGTCTCTGAGATCCAGCTCCTGCAGCGCCCCGAGGCTGAAGACTGCGTGTGGGATGCGCTCGAGCCCGCAGGCTACCAGCTCCAGCTCGCGCAGCGCCACCAGCTTCTTAAGGCTGTTGAGGGCCAGCAGGCGGGCACCGTCATTGTGCAGGCTGAGCCGCTGCAGGTGCCCGGCCACGTCAGTCACGCTGGCCGGCACCTTCCCGGCGTTGCTCCGCAGGGACAGCACCTTGAGCTGCTTCAGCTCTCGCAGGCTCTCCAGGACGGCTGCGCGAGCCAGCTCAGCGGGGAAGAGCCCCTCGAGGTGCAGCTCCTCCAGGCTGCGCAGCCCGAACACCCAGAGAGGCACCTCACGCAGCTCCTCACACTTGACGCGGATCACCTTGAGCCGGTCCCGCAGGAAGACCTGGGAGGAGAAGGGCAGCCTGGCGGGCGAGTGCAGCAGGCTGAGCTCCTGCAGGTGCACCAGCTGCGAGAGGCCTGGCGGGAAGGTGACGTCACAGATGGCCTCCAGCCGGAGTGCCTCCAGCTCGCTGAGCTCGAAGACCGTGTCCGGCAGCCCCGGCAACATGCACAGACCCAGCTCGAGCCGGCCGCCGGCATTACGCTGCAGCTTCTGCCGCAGCTTCTCGGGCGTCCACTCGTGGTTGAGGTTGAGCTGCTTGAGGCGGCTCTCGCTGACCTCGGACAGGAAGACGGCGAAGCGCTTGGAATAGAGCGAGTCGTACTGGTCAATGAGGTGTAGCATGAAGGCAAAGTCATTCTTGACGTCAGGAATGTCAACCATGCCTGTCTCCTCCCGAACGGAACGGAAGGAGTACTCCTTGAGGGGCCGGTGGAAGAGCCAGTAGAGGGTGTAGAGGCAGGTAAGGCCATAGACGCACATGAAGGAGATGTAGCAGAAGGCCAGCTTGGAGAAGAGGTGTGCCTTGGTGTGGTTGCAGCAGAAGCTAGCATAGCCCGTGACCTCCGAGGTCTCCACCCTGCAGGCCACCAGGAAACTGATCTTCTCCACGTAGATGAGGTTGTAGACCAGTATGGCAAAGAACTTGCACACTTTGAGTACTGTCTGCCGGATGTACATGGTGTACAGGATGTCGCCCTCTTCCACATGTACACGGAACTTCTTGACCTTCTCAAAGAGGGCCTTGGCCTGCTCACCTTCTTTCTTGTCCAGGAGGGTGACAGCCGGAGGCTCTGTCACCACCTTCTCAGGCTCTGCCAGCACCTTCTCCTTCTCGCCCTCACCTGCCTTCCCTGCCCCGGTGGCCGCGGCCACTGCCACCACCCGTCCAGGCGCAGGGCCTTTGTGGTTCTCCCCGGAGACCTCAGACAGGGCCCGTGTGGTCCACGGTGAGTCAAAGCATTTGCCCAGGATGGAGATGAAGTGCTCGATCTTGGAGCTGGTGCCAGGGAACTTGAACCAGAAGCTGGTACAGACCATGAAGATGAGCGTGTGGATGACGACCAGGTAGGGGAAGTACTTGGCGTACCAGTGCAGGGCCGTCTCGTAGCACAGCTGGTTGATAAAGCTGTACTGCTGCAGGTCCAGGTTGTTTTTGAGGCCACTCACCTCCCGCAGGGCCCCCATCTGCTCGGACACTCCCCGCGGCAGCAGCTGCTGGCACGAGCCGTCTGATGAGTTCTCCTGGGCTTCATGACTGGGCAGACAGATGATCTTGTCTTGTGTCACCTGGGCATGGGGGAGAGGGCGAGGCTGAGTGAGGAGACTGGCCAGGCCAGGGGAGCCAGCTGAGGGCAGGGAGGTGTCCACCCCAGCGCCCCCCAAGCTGGCTGGACCTTAGAGGAGTTGCTCTGAGCATGGGTCTCTGTCTGAAAGATGGAGACATAACTGCAGTCCTTTAATCTCAGTCTGAAACCAGGTATTGTACAGTACAGGTAAGGGATGCCAGACCAGTGCTAAGGATATTGCCACCACCACCAATGGGGGTGGGGATGGTAAGGGGTTAGCAGTGGCTTGCAAGTTAAGCTCTGCTTTCAGCTTTCTCCATGCAGACATCTACCCTCAGACTTGACCCCCACCCACACAGGTCGGGTCTTTCAGACTCCAGTCCCACCTCCACTCTGCCCCTGCCCCTTAGGCTCTATCCTTTCAGGCTGGGGCCTAGTCCCTTCCCCCACTCCAGATCCATCCACTCAGGTTCTATCTCTCAGACTCTAACCCTGCCCCTGTCCCACCTCTCAGACTCAGGCCCTGCCCTATCAGGCTCTGGCCTGGAATCTCACCTGGAGAGTGCAGCCGAAGACCCCGATCATGAGCATGGCCACGGTGAGGTACTCGGCCAGTACATCCCACCAGGGTTTGAGCACCTTGAACGCGGGCTGCTGCTCCGTGAACTGCTTGAACTCGGCCACTGGGATCATCCTACCTACAAGAGAGGAAGGGGACACACAGAGACAGTAAGGAAGGGGCCCCTGGTAGTGGGTCCCCACAGGGGCCAGATGTGGGACTCTGGTCCCAGTCCCCCCCCATCCTGCCCAAACCTTGTAGGGTGCCTTCCCGAGACCTCACCTCCCTGAACCACGTAGCTCCTGTCCTCACCTAGTCTCCTGCTCCTAGCTCCCCAGCCCCCTTAGGACTCACTGGTCCTTTGAGAGTGCAGAGGGGCAGGGCTCAGGGCCACTGCCTCCCAGCTTCCCTGTGGGGCCCTCTCCTGGAATCCTGAGGCCTCCCTCCAGTGCCCTGACTCGACTCCCCGAGTCCCGACTGCCAGCCTCGGCTCTCACCACCAGACCTGGGAGCGCCCCAAGGCCCGGGACTTCCGGGGTGTGAGCCTGGGACCAGCCCGGGGACAAACCCCGCTTCAGGGGCACTCCTCTCTGGGCACCACCTCCAACCTCTAACCGGAAAAGCCGGCTGGAGCCAGGCTCTGGTTACGGGGCCCCAGAGGCTGGGAGTGGCCACACTGAGGGCTAGTCAGCCTTGGGGGTGGGGGGACAGGGCCTCTGGGTTGAGACTGACCAGAGCCCACAATCTGGGTTAGAAAACAGACACCCCTGGGTGCTGGGAGGGCAGGGGCAGAGGATGCACAAAGGGCAAAAGCTAGAGTGACACGAGTGACACAGCCAGGCTGCAGGGCGGCCTGGCCCATTCTGTCCTATGGGGAACGTGAGCACAAGCTGGGACAGCACCCTCAGTGCTTCCAAGACTGGGGTGGGAGGACCAAGAGGCTGCAGGACGCGCCCTGCCTCCCGGACCACCTGCACTCCCAGCCTCCTTGAATTCCTCAACCTTAGTAGGCAGGTTTCCTGGAGTGTCTATCCTCACCCTGACATCCTGTCACCCAGCACAGGCTGGGCAACGGAGAGAAAAGGTATCAGGGGTGCCAGCTGGTTCTCGGGCCTCCCACTGCCCTCCCACGAAGGCCCTCCTTGTTCCCCAGCCCAGCTAGTTCTCCCATGTTCCCCGTAGGCCTTGGGGTGGCTCCCCAGGTGGGGACTGGGAGTGGAAGTGCTTATCCATCCCCGCAGAGGCTTCCACCTGGGTACAGGCATCGGCACGTAAAGGGGCAGGTGCATGCCTGCCCACACGTGGGCATCATGTGCCCTGCCTGGCCTCATGGGCCCCCTGACTCACACAGAGCCAGACGTGTGCAATGCAGTGCACAGAGCCCAAGGTCCCGCACATAGCAGCATTTCACAGGGCGTGTCCTGCACACTCAGGTACACGCCCCATCCCAGGCAAAGGCCCTAGTGTACCGCAGACAGCCTGTCACCAGGTAATGGATGGAAACACCCGGGGAGGATACAAATACCCAGAGGCTGACTACATGGCAGCCACAAAGAGGGACACCCGGGGGCGTTTGGAGTGTGCCAATGGGTGCATGTGGGTACAGAGGTTCAGGACACACATCGGGAGCCAAGGGGAGATCCAGAGGCAACAAGGCTGCAACAGCTCTCAGTTCGGGAGGCTGTGGCCAGGACCTGTCTCACAATGCTGCCCACGATCCTAGGCCGCAAATGCAGACACAAAGCAGAAATACACGGAGTTCCAAACTGACCGGACAAAATGTAGACATACACAGAGTCGGGGGCTGGCACTGGGGTTATCATTATCTGTCTCCTGGCTCAAACTTGATCCTTGCGACCCTGCCATTAAGTCTCCACAGACACTTGACTGCCTTCTCCTCCATCTGAGCAGAGCCGGTGGGAGGGCGCAGCTGAGAGAGAGGGCCTGGCTGGGTAAGGGACCTGGAGAATAGTGGGGACCACCACTCAACTTTAGACCAAAACCGAAAAACCAACCAAAGCTGTGGCCATCGAGTTCATTCCAACTCACGGAGGCCCTATGTGATACAAAGTAGAACTACTCCATAGGGCTTTCTTGGCGTGATCTTTATGGAAGTAGATGGCCAGGCCTTTCTTCCATGGAGCTGCTGTGTAAATTCAAACCTCCAGCCTCTAGATTAGCAGCTGATCGCAATCGGCTTGCATCATGCAGCTTTAAATGCTTCCTCTGATTCCAGCACTGTGAGGAGCGAGGGTCAGGATCCTCACTTAGCCAGACTGGGGCGGGGGGGTGATGTAACTTGCCCATTGTCTGATCCTGTGTGTCTGTCTGTCCATCTTCACTCTGTTCAATCTCAGGAGAGAAACTCCCTGACATGGGGCATGTTTAGAGTGTCAGTCAGTTGAGCAGAGAAGAGGGTGGCCACTTGGGCTCCTGTGTGTGCCCCTAGCATGAGCCCTGCTTCTTCTCTCTCACGCCTGCCTCGGCTTGTCCCCAGAGAGATGGTGAACGACTTCCTGCTGGCAGGGACTCTTGGGTTAGTCCCCTGCTCCCCACCCAGTCCAGCCTGCAGGGGCCAAGAAGAAACTGGACTGCTGTCAGTACCCAAAGGTCCCTGGCAGACCATAAGGGGAAACAGGTTGCGTTGGGGGAGGGTCCCTGTTAGTAGATCTGGAGCAAAGCTCCAGGCCTAGGAGCTCCCAGCCTAGCACTTGTCCAAGCTGTCCCTGCCAGAGCTTGGCGGCAGGGGTCTGGAATAGTGGGGGGTGGGTCTTGAGGTATCAACGCAGACGGATGGGGACTCTGGGTGGGAGGGATTTGGGGCCTTTGAGGAACTAACAGGAATGAGTTGTCACTGTTCCCCTAGCTATCAAGGAGAAAGGGGAATGTGGTCCGGCCCCTCAAGGTCAACCCCTGCTTGTCCATCTCCACTCGGTCACTTGGTCCGGCCTCCCTGGCTCCCTGGACAGGCGCCCCTTGGGCTGTGCAAGGCTGAGCCTCTGTCCCCCACACTGCCTCCTCGTGTGTAGGGCCCGCCCCAGCTACAGTGCCAGTAGCCAGCCACACCTGGGGCAGTTCCGCCTCTGGGGCAGACCTCGGCGGCCAGATCGACCCCCACCCCCCACCCCAACTCCAGGGCCAGAGAGCCACCCACTCACCGCTCCGGGACAGACTCTGAGCCTGACTCTTGGGTCCCTGGGATCAGCGTGGCCGGTACTCCCGCAGAGTTCCCGGGCCTGCGAGGGTGAGTCAGGGCGGGCCGCCCCGCCCCGCCCCGCCCCCAGTCGGCTCATCCCGCTTCCCTGCAGGCGCTCCCAGGTCGACCCCCACTCCCTGCGCCCTGTGGCAGGGGGAGGGGAAAACAAGTCCACACCTGCTCTCGGTGCCCAAAGTGGGCAGGGACTGACCAGGGGAGCAGGAGCTGTAGAGCTCTGGGCTGGCCGCAGTCGGGCTGGACCAAGGGGTAAGGGACCGAGGTGGAGGCACTGGGCTCCCCAAGGCATCCGGTGGCCTCGGTTGAGGCCAGGCTGTGCTGACTCTGTTAGGGAGGCAGGGCAGGGCCGCCTCCTCCCACAAGGTCACCTGGCCTCTAGGGCAGGGCCCAAACTAGGCAAGTCTCCTAGTGAGAGACCCTCCTCTCCAGGGGCGGGGGCCAGGCAGTCTGGGACTTCTCCCTTTCTGCTTTGTCCTGGTGGGACAGCGGCCAACCTGGGGAAGCAGGCAGACTGGGGGTACTCACCCTTCTGTCCACCACAGGCCTGTTGCCTGTCCTCAGAGGGTGCAGGGGCCAGAGGGCTCTGGGAGCTGGGGGTGGAGTTCCCATCTGCAAGGTCCGATTTCTCCCAAAGTAGACTGTGCCTCCCCCCCCACCCCTACACCTAGAGGCCTGGGCTGGGCCTTAACCACTGGGAGTGGACTCCAACCCACAGCGCCCCCGTGTGTCACTAGAACTGTGCTCCACAGGGTTTTCAATGACTGGTGTTTTGGAGGTAGATCACCAGACCTGTCCTCCAAGGTGCCTCTGGGTGGCCCAGGGACTCATGCTGAGTAGTTTCATGTGTGCAGATCTTCCCCTTCAGCCTGGAGGCATCTGTGTTTGAACCTTGATCTGTTCTCAGGCTGGAAAAAACCCTCTCTGGTGGCATGAGTACTTAAGGGATTTGACTGCTAACCACAAGGCTGGTGGTTCAAACCCACCAGCCATTCCTTGGAAGGAAGACTGGGCAATCTACTTCCATAGTGATACCACTTTTTTTTTTTTCCCAATGGAAGTGAGGAGAGTGAGGCCTGGACCTCATGGCAGAAAAAGCCAGAGCTTTCACCAGATGGGAGACAGCCTGAGACCAGAAACCAGAAACCGTGAGGATTAGGACCTCCTTACCTTTGGTGGTGTGGTGCGTAAGGCATTTGACTGCTAACTAGAAGGCTGGCGGTTCAAACCCACCAACCACTTTTCAGAAGGAAGATTGAGCAATCTACTTCCATAGTGATACCGCCTTGGAAACCCAAGGAGGGGTCG